CATCAACTGGCAGCTGGAAGTTTGCTGGGGAAGCTGTGAGCCAATCATCAACTGGCAGCTGGAAGTTTGCTGGCAGCTGGAAATTTACTGGGGCCCCTTAGGCTGTGGCTCTCAACATCCAACAATCCCACTTTGCTGATTAAGAATGTGATATCCAGGTTCTTGCCCCTGTATAACCTCTCCACCTTCCTTACAAAGGAATTCGTCAATGCCACCTTGAAAGGGGCTTTTTAAAGCTTTTCAAATGGGTTGCCTCCCACTGTGAATCTTGCCAAGAACTGAATTCATGTGACAGTGAACACTTGGGATGCAGAGAGGTCTTCAGAGTTAGGGTAGAACTAAAATGTTACTTCCCCTCTATCAATTTTTTCTCTTAATCTTCATTTCCTTCAGTTTATTTCAACTCAGAATCTCTTCTCCTTCCCATGCCTGGAAGAGTTTGTCCTCATGGGCCAGGCAATAGAACTCTTAATAGGTTAGGTCTGGAAGAAGCTACTAGGAAAAGGAGTGTGTGATGAACCATTCTGTATCAAGGGAAGGACACCATCATCACTTGGTACATGAGTCCTGACCAAGGATTTTACTGACCTGTGGGAAAACAAGATTAGGTTAGAAACTAGTGTGGCCTGGGGATGAGATGCTTCTTTAAGTTCCAGGGGAACTTTAAAGACACATTAGCTCTAGATAGGAGGAAACTGGGGGTAGGGGCAGAGAAGGTGGCACTATAGATAACAGGAAGAGCAGTGGGAACTGTATGGAGGTTAACAGACAGAAGACCAAAACTGTATCCTTTTAAAAAACAAAGTGAGAGGAAGGGAAACTTGGGAGATTCTGAGTTTTCAAGGATATTAAAATGCAGACTCATAGCCCTGGATGTGCAGCTGCAGGTGGTACACAATACACTGCTCTAATACCTTGCACTGCTGGGAGCTGTTTTCTTAATACACTTTTGTCCACAGAGGGTTTTGATTTTTTTTTTTAAAAAAAAGGTGTTTTATTTTAAATAAAAATCACTTCTTGGGCTGGGGTTGTGGCTCAGCGGAAGAGCACTCACCTAGTATGTGCGAGGCCCTGGGTTTGATCCTCAGCACCACATAATAATAAATAAATAAAACAAAAGTATTAAAAATAATAATTAAAAAAAGATCATTTCTTGATCTCATTTTACACTACACATGGGCCCCGTTTCACAAGATGTTCCATTCCCCCTTCCTAAGGAAAAGAGCTAACTTTGGCTCTGTGCAGTGGTACATACCTGTAATCCCAGAGACTCAGAAAGCTGAAGCAGGAAGATTGTGAGATTGAGACCAGCATCAGCAAAATTTTTGTGAGACCCTGCTTCAAAATAAAATTAAAAAATAAGGCTAGGAATGTAACTCTCAGATTGCCTCTGGATTAAGTCCCTAATACCACAAAAGAAAAAGAATAAAAATCCCTAAATTTAGAATAAGGCAGAGGAGACTCCTGTCTACCCTCCCCCATTCGAGACAATGACTTCTGTGGCACTTGTCCCAGGCCAGCCAGCCCTTTGCACCAATCTTAGGTGCTAACGGAACAGATATAAATGTATTATTGCAACAAAAAGCTTACTGAAAACTATTAACCAATGCCCCTATTGGGGCCACAGAAAACCAAATTCCAAGCCAATAAAGATAACTGGGAAAGAATGCCTTTTGGAATCATAGCAACATCACTGTGTGGTGAACAAGAGGAGCAGCATTTAAGGGAAGGATATTGAAAATTACACACGTTCCACTTAAGTTTAATATCTGTTGGGCTTCACTCTCCCTTTCAAGCAGAGGGGAGGTTCTGTTTCTAGCTTTCCTAAAGTGTCATGGCTCCCCAACCCAAAGGAAAAATTTTTCCAGGCTCCTGACTAGGTGGAGGGAGATGACTGTCTCAGCTTCAGGCAGGTGGCCAAGATGTGCTGGCACTGTTCCCACCCCTTGAGGTGGGTAGGGAAGGTGCCCAGAAGCAAGCCCCCTCTTGTAGGGGGCTGGAGGCAGAAGACTGTACCCATATCCAGTGACCATACCCATAGCCAGTGACTCTACCCATAGCCATCTAGATATCAGAGTGTGTTTTAGGAGGAGTCTTAAAGGAAACTCAAATCATTGGCATTGGCATTGACATGGAGAGAGTTCCAGACTCCCCATATCCCAGAGGGCTTTGGTATTCATATTTGATGACTGTTAGAGAATTTGAGGTCCCAGGAGGACTCTGTTAATTTTATACTTTCATTTACCTAGAGTAGGGTTTCCCACAGGCTTCCCATTTTGTGTGTTTTCTTAGTCCGTGTTCTGCTGCTGTAACAAAATACCAGAGTGGGTGAATTACAAACAATAGAAGTTTATTCTTCTCAGGGTTCTGGAGGCTGGGAAATTCAGAATCAGGAAGCCATATGTAGTAAAGGACTTCCTCCTGAAGCATGGCATGGCAAAATGTGTCTTATGGCAAAAGATTGTCTTGTGGTGAGGAAGCACGAGAGTACAGGAGCATGAAAGTGAGGAAGAGAGGATAGTAGGGGACAGAACTCATCTTGTCATCATCAGGAGCCCATTCCTATATGATAACCCACTCCAGAGCTAAAATTAATCCATTCGTGAGGGGAGATCCCTCATGGCCCACTCACTGCTAAAAGGTTCCACCTCTTAATACTATCATAATGACAAACTTCAACCTGAGTCTTAGAGAGGACATTCAAATCACAGCATTCTTATATTTTCAACAGTCTTCCCAAGTGACTGACGTACTCGAAAACTGGCAAAAGCCTGGCCAAAGTCATTCGATGTCCCTATATTGCAGGAATGAGCTCAGGAGAGAATGGACCCAGCAGAAACCTCCCATTCTAATTCACTCAGAACTGAACTCTGAGCACCTGTTGGGAGCTGGGTGGGTACCAGGCACTGGGGGTACAGATGTAAAGATGCGGGCTCTCTGCTCAAAGAACCATGGGGTGTGGGAAGCAACTCTCCTCTGAGTGTATGTGGGGTACACCCTTCTCTGATAGAAGGGGCCAGGCTCAGGCAAGACACCCTCATCTTTGCCTGTCATTAAAACAGACATTATTCAGACATTAGAACAATCTGTGTAATCCAGACTGATTCTGGATCAGTCCCACAATCAACTCATTTAGGGAAGGGCTCCTGGTTTGCAAGCTCAGAAGTGACACAAGCCAATGTAATGATCATCTTCCGACCCCACCAGAAGTAAGACAAGGCTTCCACTTCCACCTCCCCATAAAGTAACAGGTAACTTTTTGCTTTTCTGGGAGATCAGTGTGTTCTCTTCTTTTCCTTCTTTTTGAGGTATAGTATATCTATATACTATATATGGAAAGGCTCATGAATCTAGAGTGGATCCTTATTGGATGTGTGTGTGTGTGTGTGTGTGTGTGTGTGTGTGTGTGTGTACACCAGTGCAACCCTACCCAGATCAAAGGAGCCATTCTTAAGTTTGCAAAGATCTCACAGGATAAAACATGCACCCATTCAGCGTTGAACAGACTGTGAGACACAGTATCTCAAGGTCTGACTGTGGTCCTTGACAATGGAGATGAACAAAAGGCTAGTGAGTACCTGCAGTGTGCTAGAACCTTCATGGTGTAAACTGCATCGCCTCTCACCTGGAAACCCAACATAGGTGGCTTGGGGAGCTGAGCATCAGTAACATATTTTGTGTCACCTTAATTTATTTTGTGTCTGTTATCGATTATATTATGATATAACACTTGGGGACTTTTACTTGAGAGATACCTCTTTCTGCCAGTGTGCCTTCCCTTTGTCCTTGATTGCTGCAGTCTGGCTGGGCACAAAATCACGAGCCACTCAAGCAGGAACAAACTTTATTTCCAAAACTCCCAGGAATGCCATGCACTCGGCCTTCTCCAGAGACACACTACACCAACAGGAAATCCCTCCTCCAGAATTCCCTCCTACTGCACTTCCCCAACCAATGTGAACTCTCTGGGAGTCCTGAGAGAGCTCCAAAGTAGCATGCTGAGGCGGACAGCAGGGGTCTAATCTCCAATTGAAGGCACATCTTAACATAATCATTATCATCTCAATGGCTTGCTGGGGTCACCTTTCAACCAAAAATGCCATGCATCATTCCTACTTGGCTATGGCTCTCAGCACTTGATGTTGAATCATTATTATTGCAGGTAAAAAGAAGCATAATATTATGTTACAGCTTATAATGGCGACCTCTGGAGAAGGCAGCCACCCCAGTGGCACAGTGACACCCAGGCCACTGGCACAGCTGCAGGAGCTCAAACCATGGGTAGCCCACAGATGCCTGTCCCAGGCCCGCCATAGGGCCACCCTGACAGGTCTCTTCACCAACCTAAGGAAGACTGTTTACTCCCAGTCTGAGCTCACAGCCTGGAAGGTATGGGGACCTCAGTGTGGGGCCTGGCCCTGCCACCCTTGGTGCACAAGGTTTATGGCTGGACCTCCCTGTAGTGGGTGATCTTCGGTGGATGCTTCAGGGGCTATACCTGCTGTGAGAGATGGGCCTTTTCTACCTGCAGCAGACCAGCCTGGCATAAGTAAAGCAATTAGGGGCCTGAGGAGGGGCCTAGTTTGCCAGCCCCTTTTGTGCCTGTCCATTCAACAGGCAGTGGCCTTTAGCACACGCTCAGGCACCCTGTACATCTACCCAAACACACACACCTGTATGCACACACAACACCACACACACGTGCACACACCATAGACATACATGCATGCATGCATCATACCATTAGCACACACATACACATGGTCACACGCCACACATGCGCGCACACCCCCAGTTTATAAACATCATCCAGGTCTTTCCCCCAGGCAACAGGGCTCTCCAGGCAAGTATTTATCTTTTCCTGTTCTTAATTCTGCTTTTTTCCTCATACAACTTTTTAATTGCTAATTAGCAATCAATAAATTAATTTTCTAGCAGAGCACTGAGGTCCAAGTATATTAGGGTGGTGGAAGGAATGGAGTAGTCATAATGGTGGAAGCATTATAGAAGGTCAGAATGGAGGAGTCCCTCAAGAGGTGCAGTTCCCCACCCCCTTTTAGTAAAGGAGTTGAGCAAGGACTTACTAGCTGGTTGACATTAGGTCAGAAAGAGTCTCTGTTCCTACTCCAGGCCTGGCCCTCTCCCCACCCTCTACCTCTCTGGACTATACTGTTGTCTGGTGTCTGTTCCCAACCCTGGGGGGGTGGGCGGGGTCCCTTTTGGCTGATGCCTTCTGCAAAGCAACATTCACAAGCTTCATATTTTCTGTTCATGGCGCTGGCAGAGGCTTCTCAGTGCATATGAAGAGCTCCTGAGCAGGCACGGGCCAGGACTTGGTGGAAATTTAAAAAGGTGCCCTGAAGCCTACATCCTGGGAACAAATATTTACCCCTCACACTTCAGGTAGAGCTCTAATCTCCAGAGTATACAAAGAACTCACAAAATTAAACAACAAGAAAACAAATAACCCAATGAACAAATGGGCCAAGAATCTGAACAGACACTTCTCAGAAACAACAAATATACGAAAAAATGCTCACCATCTCTAACAATCAGAAAAATGCAAATTGAAACCACTCTAAGTTACCATCTCACTCCAGTAAGAATGGCAGCCATTATGAAATCAAACAATAACAAGTGTGGCGAGGATGTGGGGAAAAGGGTACACTTGTACATTGCTGGTGGGACTGCAAATTGGTTCAGCCAATTTGGAAAGCAGTATGGAGATTCCTGGGAAAGCTGGGATTGGAACCACCATTTGACCCAGCTATTCCCCTTCTCAGACTATACCCAAAAGACCTAAAAAGAGCATACAACAGGGACACAGCTACATCAATGTTCATAGCAGCACAATTCAGAATAGCTAGACTGTGGAACCAACCCAGACACCCTTCAATAGACGAATGGATAAAAAATGTGGCATTTATACACAATGGAATATTACTCAACACTAAAAAATAACAAAACCATGGCATTTGCAGGGAAATGAGTAGCATTAGAGCAGATTATGCTAAGTGAAGCTAGCCAATCCCTAAAAAACAAATGCCAAATGTCTTCTTTGATATAAGGGGGTGACTCAAAACAGAGCAGGGAGGAAGAGCATGAGAAGAAGATTACCATTAAATAGGGATGAGAGGTGCGTGGGAATGGGAGAGAGAAGGGGAATTGCATGGAAGATGGTAGGAGACCCTCATGGTTATGCAAAATTACATATAAGATGGTGTGAGGGGAAAGAAAAAAGAGAGAGAAACGTGTCACAGTAGATTGGGTAGAAAGAGGTGATGGGAGGGGAGGGGAGGGGAG